GCAAGAATTGGGCTCATTCCAGATGCAGACTAAATCAAAACTTAACCTACCTATGCCTAAACTGTGATTCTGACATATCTTCTGATGATTAATTATAAGTATATATGTATGTTCTCTGTCTATGATGGCAATATGATTGTTTTTGTTTTTAGCCTAAGGCAAGTTATATTGATTGAAGACTGAACTAATTATCAAGGCTGATTAGCTACAAGTTATTTGATAAGCTGTTAATTATTAAAAGACTAATAATTGTTTAAGTAAAATTATAGTTACTTGTTATATTACATATAAATTTTAAACAGATAATCCATACGAAACTGATTAGTGCTTAAATAAACAGACTCAGTTTTATCATTTATTGGTTTTTATTTCACAAATAACAGCTTTAACAGGTACGGTAACAATTTACCCCGACTTGTTAACAACTTGCCCCAAGTCGGGGTAAGTTGTTGCTTCCCGACTTTAGGCATTAAAAAATTTATAATAAAAAAATCTCACTAAAAATATCCTAAATAACTATCTTAATACCAAAGTAAGATATGTAAGTTGATTTTGATTGCATTATATGAATTCTGAAATCAAAGTTTCGTAACAATGTTCGAGGTTAAATAAAAATCGGAACTTGTAGCCCCGCTCTCCCCTACAAACAATATGTTAATGTTTTCTTTGCATTTACTTAGCTAAAATAAGTAGCTTAACTAGCTTTATAATTAAAATTTAAAAACAATGTTTCTAAACAGTGAAAAATTAACGTTTTTTAAAAAAAATATGACAACCGCCTTTATGCCACTAAAATTATTCAATGTATTTGTTCAACTGATTAGTATGTGCCCATACGGCTTTATGCCTCCAATTTTTGTAATTTAATGTGAGGTGTTTGTCCATATGCGACTTTATTGTGCTCATTTATTAACTGTGGTTCTTTAGGCAAAAAGTCGGACATCTCTTAACAAAAAAAACTATTCCATGAATAAACGATAATTATTAATTTAATAATAAGAAGAAAATGAGAGAAAATTAAAATATTTAATAATTCATCTATTTACTGGCGTATAACACACGGCGTCAAAAAAATTGCACCTTTAAAAATTTTTAAACCTTATTTAGAGAATAGTGTGGTGTATCATTAGAAAGGTTACAAAAAGGAGTATCCAAAAACCATTAAATTCAACTTTTTATTTAATTAAAATTATACAAACAACATTAAAATGAAAAAATAAATAAAAATCCTTAATTAAGTCCTTATTAATAACAGATAATTTACTGGGCAGCATTTCATAAGCTTCGTCAAGTCTTCTCGTCACCCATCCCTCAATGTCTCAAGTCGAAAGTCTTCCATCAGTGCGTCCTCCCAGTTATGACATACGGCGCCGAGACGTGGACACTCACGGCTGGACTGGTCCACCAGTTTAAAGTCGCTCAGAGAACTATGGTAAGGGCTATGCTCGGAGTATCCCTGATGGACCGCATCAGAAATGATGTAATCCGACAGAGAACCAGAGTCACCGACATAGCCCACCGAATTAGCAAACTGAAGTGGCAGTGGGCTGGTCACATTAGCCGCAGAACTGACGGCCGATGGAGCCGTAAAGTTCTTGAGTGGAGACCGCGACTCGGTAAACGTAGTGTGGGACACCCTGAGACAAGATGGGATGATGATATTCGTAGGCTGGCTGGCGTGAGCTGGATGAGAGGGGGAGACCTATGTCCAGCAGTGGACGTGCATGGGTCGATGATTATGATGATGATGAATTTACAAAGAAAAATGTACTAAAAGTATCTTAAAATTAACTTAAGATCTAGTGTTACCCCCATCCCCCTACCCCCGATCTTGTGTAAGAATGGGCTAGGGGGGGGATTCTTCAATCACCGCGTCTTGGAGCTCCTGTAGAATCGAAGAAGCTAGATCCCGAGATCGAACCTTGCGTTTAAGATGATCCCAGAGGTGCTCTATCGGATTCAGGTCCGGACTTCTCGCTGGCTACTGCATCACAGAGATTTGGGACCTCTGTAAGAAGTCAGTCACGATAGCTGCAGTGTCGGCGCGGGCGTTGTCGTGCATTAATGTGAACCCCTCGCCAAAAGATTCAGCAAAGGGGATCACATGCACTTCTAAAATCTCTGTGACATAGCTTTCTTCTAACCATAGAGACGCTCACGGTTCGTCTACGAACTGCCTGAAGCTGCTGTTGCAACTCAACAAAGTTAGAGAGACGATTTCTCACAGTTCGAAAAAGACGACCTGTTCAACGGTCGTTTCTTTCTGAAGTGCAGTGACGACCAGTCTCTATGAAGCGCTGGTATACTCTTCGAACGGATAAACGGTTCAGGTTCAGTTGCCGGGCAACATCACACTGCCGCATCCCTGATTGCCGTAGTGCAAATACTTGAGCGGCTTCATCAGCTGTGGTATCTACCTTCGAGGTGATTTTTCTTCAATAAAATCTGTGCGTTGACTTTGTGTGGACCGTTTTATACCCACACAAGGAAACGCAATAAGCGACTCTCACGGTAGCAAAATTTGCATCGAATTTTTGTGACACATTATTTGTTGCACTAGGTTTTATTTGATAATGAAAAGTAATGTTTTTTATTAAGTCAATTAAGTAACCTTTTTAAATAAAATCATTATTATTGTGACTACATGTGCATATTACAAGTTAATGACATTTGAAAATGATTTCTAAGAGGTGCAATTTTTTTGACGCCGAGTGTATATTAATTAGTCATTTGCTGGAAAGTTGGGAATATTTCCGTAAGTAAGATTTTTATAGTAGACATGAAACTCCATAGGAACTCATTTCAAAAGAGTCATCAGATCAGTGTACTTTGCAGTTGATATATGTTTCTCAGTGTCTCTCACTTCACAAAACACCAACTCTCTGCAGTCTACGGGCACGGTAATTACCGTGATACGGGGTTTCCCATACTAGCTATAGCTACCCGATACCCGGATACATACTGATTATTTTTGTATTATCTGCTTCGTTAGAGCTCTATATAACATATATAACCAAAAACATTTAGTGTTCGCAAAATTATAAGAAACAACAAGGTTAATGTACTCTTTGATTAAAGAAGCTTACGACAGCACTAAGACATGTCGGTTAAATTTAACGCTTGTCAAAGTGAGGTGTTGATTATTCTATTGTTAGTGACATCATTAACTTTAATGGAGCTTAAAGATTAACAGACTTCTCTGAGTGTGGCCGTTACATAATAAAATCAAATACTTATTCTCAAACATGCTTGGAAATGCGAGCATTATTGTGACAACCTCAGTTGAGATAAAAAAAATTGTTGTACATAGCCGAATACACGCGAGCAGCGGCCGGCAAAAGTTGTATGAAAATCCATATCTGTCGTGTAATTTAAAAATAGAACAATCTTTTACTCTGAGACATGGCAACAAACGAGGTAACTTATCAAAAGTTTTATTTAAAGGAAATGGGAAGAAACGTCCCCAGCCCCACAACAGATTTGGAACCAGTGTCATTCGATGCATCTAGTAGTATAAACAAATCCTTATTATGGCGACATGCTTCAAATATATGGGGTTTAGGTTATATTAATACTAGAATGCCCTGCAGTTTCACCTGCATTAATTGAGGAAATAGGTTATAGTGGGTCATCCTTAAAATGTATAAAAAAATATTTTTATAGAACTTTTAAAGGAGAACAATGACACAATGATTAAAGGAGAACAATGACTCAATGAATGAACATGATTTTTGTGTAACTTTTACCGTTTAGGCAGCGCACGCAACGGAAGCTGTGGTGAATGGATTATTTTTTTCCGTATTTGCAACTTTTTTATTATTGCTCCGCCTCTTTTGGTTGTATCTTAATGTTATCAAGCTTAAAACCTTCCTCAATAAATGCAATATCTAACACAAAAAGAATTATTCAAAGCGGACCAGTAGTTGATGACTTTATGTAAAATGAATTAGATAAGTAGAACCTGAAAAATCCAAAGCCAACCCAAGCAGTAAATTTTAAGATCTATCAATACGCATGGCACTGAAATCAAGTTATTTTTGAGTTTAAATGTACATATAAGTAAAGAGTAATTATGCATTATTTCTTCTTTTTCGTACTTTTCTATTTATGAAGTTGGTTTTTATTTAATTTTAAAAAAGTTTTTATTTTACACATTTTATCAACTTACTTGGTACCTGGCCTGCATTATCTCTTTCATATTTCTTAAAATAACCAAACTTGAATTATTATTGAGTACTGTTTGTTACAGAGGAGTCCAGTATTTTCTCCAAAAGAACTGATCAGATCCTTACCAAATCAATACGGGACCATTATCCCAAAAAACTGATTCAAACAAAAAAGAATCATCAATATCGGTCCACGCATCTCTGAGAGATGCGCGAACAACAATAACAAACATGTAATGACGAATTAAGAACCTCCTCCTTTTTTAAATCTGTTAAAAACAATCATTAAGTAAAACATTGTATTTGTAAGTCAATAATGTTTCAGTTCGTGACATTTTTTAAGAAAAATAAACACTTTTGTAGGAAGATAATCACATTTTTGCCGAAAAGTGTTTTTTATTCATTATAATGAAACCCCATCGACTTCTCAACTAAAACAAGTGTTTTGTCTCTTTTTGAGTACGAATGAACAAATCCACACACATTCCGTGTCTGTTGCAGAGCGGGGACGGGGTCCGTACAAAACCCCCCATGGTTCTTTCGAACTGGATTTCGAAATAAAAAGCTGTTTATGAAAACAAAACAAATGAACACTTTATACACGGGAAAACCCTTGTTGTTTCATTGGTTTTCCAGAAATTTGAAAGTTTTGCCTTGGTAGGTACTACTTAGTTTTAATTTTCCGCGGTTTATTTGAGAAAAGTTCTATACAAGCCTTGGCCACAACTAAGCATTGATGGACTTTTACACGTTCGTCCGTCAATGCCTCGTATGCTCGCCGCTGCAGTAATATAATAATTGTAATAACGACAAAAATTAATGGTATAAACTTACCGTATCTGTGTCAGATATCTCGTGATACTCGTGCACTTCGTCTGTATTAGAAGCGCCATTTTCGTTTTTACTTGAACGCCCTAAAGTCGCTGACTTAACCTATGGAAATAATAATATTTCCGAGTTAAAATGATATTTGTTGGAAAATTGGCTTTCCAGCTTTTTGATTCGGTTATATATATAACGTCAACATTTGTATTTTCTAGTCATCCAGTTTTATATTACAGCACTAGAAATGAAATGTTTGTGTAACGCTTTTAAACAAAACTTTAGCGTGTTTTATTTCGTTTCATCTGGTTTCGTCTGGTTACTTCACATCAGAAGGAAGTTATAAAACAAACAAAGAAAGCAAAGCTAAGTGTTACATATTATTAAATAATACCCACAGTAAGTTAGCGAGATTGTGGAAGACGATACTACCCAGCACTTAGATGGTGCTAGTGATATAGATAGCGAGTGCGCAAGATAATCATAGAGTAACGAACCTTATTCAAAATGCTTTTACTCGTCGTAGGTTCTGATGTTCTATGACTCGGCCTTTTTAAACTTTTTATTCTTGTCTCGGGACCTTAAATTAAAAGAAGAATGTTCATAAACGATATTAGACCCCACTGTTACAAAATATTAAAAAGAAAAGATAATATTTAAGTAGTAAAATACAACACTTTACAATAGTCCAATAGTTTTCATAAAGCGGTGACGTTTGATTGTATCATAGCAATAACACACGTAAGGATAGAAAACTAGGAGGTTGAAATGCATCGCTGAAATTAAAACAATTTCACAAAAACCTGCCACCCGATGGATCTATCTATCACTATGCTTTCGGCCACCATCGCAACTGTGATTTATAACCAGTTGTCTACGAGGATTTTTTATTATCTCATGGCAATCAGTTGTGATAAAAGAATGTTCATTCCTGATACACAAGCAGATGCTAACAAGGAAAAAAACTGCCATCACAACTTTGTTTCGCAATCAGTTGTCAATGAGGATTTTTTAGTAACGTACATTTAAGCCACGTCAACTTTTTTTTTTAACATACCAATTAGCCTAGCCCCAAAGTAAGCACTATAAGGCTTGTGTTATGGGATACTAGGGTAACGGATAGAATACATATACAGTACGTATATAAGTATATTTATATAGAAAATACATATTAAACATCCATGACTGGAGTACAAATACTCGTATTCATCACACAAACGTCTGCCCCCACCGGGATTTGAACCCAGGACCTCTCAAGTCGGCAACACCATGCAACCCGTCGTACAAACCACTCGGCCACGGAGATCGTATTGTTATTGCACTTACAAGGTAGGTCAACTTCATCGCAGAAAGGTTTGTCCTCCTGCGGCGAAAGCATCGGGTAAGGAGGCGTGCAGGTTGCCGCGGTGAAATGCGACGGCGAGTTCGGGTTGATCAGTGGCACTTGTTCCAGATCTTCGGAAGGCCTGTACGGCGCTACGATCTGTCGGGGAGGCTGTACAGAGGGAAAAATATTTGATTGTACTTAAGTTCCTGCGTTGTATCGCGCAGGTGAAAGTTGCCATACCAAGCCACAAATTAACGTTTAACCACGTAGGTAATCGAGTCTATAAGCGTGCGCTACGTTAAGCAGGAGTCTATAGAATGACACAAAAACTGGAAGCCGTGTCCCGCTTGATGCAGCGCAGGCTCTTAAAGCAAAACTATGTTTGACCTTATAAATAAAACCTAATGAGGTGTATTAGCTGACTAGAATTATTGTGATATAATTACAATCTAATGAATTCTACTATAAAAGGCCAAAATTATTCAATTTGTGCAGTAAACATTAATGTTATGACCATAGCAGCACGAACCATCAGGTCATTAAATCTAAGTACTCGCACTGAAAAAAGTAATTTACAAAACAAGTTGAGTTAACCGATGAATAGCCAAACTTTGCTTACTAAGAAATAAAGGAGATTGCTCAGCTTCCATACATGTACCAATTGGTTTGGCGTAAAATGTATGGCAATAGACTTTATGATGTCGCCTACCATCTGTAATAATTGTCTTAGCACATGTAGTGAAAATGATAATATAGTTGTAGATATTAATACCACAGTGTAATTAAAAAAAATGATTTATTTTATCGATGTTTACAAAATAGATTTGATTTTATGTTATATAAACAACTTCGATCAGTCTTCGGCTGAATGTACCATAGCCATTAAAAATGATTCGTATGTTTTCCAAACCGTTAGAATTAACAGTCCTTTTTAAAATGAATATAATATACAAAGGTGTCCGTTAAAATCTAATGACTGTAAAATAAAGTATAAATTACGCCAAGAATTATCGTATATGTCAATATTTTTTATGCATTTGGGCCAATTTGAGCAATCTCCTTTCAGTCACTCGTAGAACGACTGCTTTGTTGCACTTTATATCATCATTTCAGTTAGTCGAGTTAAGTTAAAAACTGAAAAACAATTTTGTTATAAGCTGTCAAATTCGATTTCGATAATCCGTAACATTACAATGATGTCGATTCTGGCATGATTCTCTAAACCTAAACTTAAATTTGACAACAGTGCATCCTTGTCCTTCTCTATACAGAATGAAAAGGTGAGACTGACCTTTAATTTAGTTTTAAGTTTAGAGATGCACGCCAGAATTGACACCAATGTATCGTTATAATTAAACACACTTGAAGTGATTATTTACATAGAGTTGGCCTAACTTCAACTATTTTGTGCTCTATATTAGCAAATGCAAAAACCGTTATGAATAACTAAAAAGTGTTGTATCTGTTAGCCAAAAAGTTCGGTTACAGATTGCAAGTACGTGTTTTGTTAAATGTTCGGCACATCCGCTGACTCGCGCTATAGAGATTGATTTTTGCATACATATAAGGTAAGTATGTAAAATTTGTATTTGAAAATAAATTGAGAAATGGTGTAACCATAATACCCTGGCTATTATGATTACACCCATTCCCTGTTAACCCCCAGTACAGTACCAGGCCATTTATAAGTCGCATCGTGCTTAAGGGACAACTCACACCGAAAGAGCGGCGAAGGGCAGCGAAGCGCAGCGACCCGCTCGGTAGAGAAGGCGCGCTTATGGAATTCGTCGGAATTCCCGCGGCGCCGCGGGAGTCGTTCGAGTTTCTCGTGCGATAATAAGTATTATAGTAATGAAAATAAAGTTAAAATTCATATGACACTGAATCTGCGCTCCGCTTCGCTGCGACGCTCTTTTGGTGTGAGTTGAGCCTTAGAGAGAGATACTCGGCTAGCTTCGGCTACCTTTAGCGGTGGGTCTTTCTTAAATTTTCTGACGACGAAACGCAACCGTTTTCTCTTAAACGAAAACTAGTCCTCGAAACGGTTCCCGTTCGCAACTGGTTATGGTTGCGGCTGGGTGACGCAACGAAACGACACGCGACGGTCGAACGAATGTAACGCAACGAAACTGAACTAAATGAAATCTTGTTAACGTTGGTTTCGTTGCTGCGAACGAGACAACGAAACATCGAAATAAATGTAGTGTTATAAGATAATCGACTTTAAATGTTCAATAATAAAGATTATATTATTGTAAAATCAAAGCTGAATTATCATAGAACGAAACGGCCTCATATCATTGCATTCTATTATAGACTGTATTTACTTCATCATAAAGTACATATTGGCGTGCAGACAATCCGAGGACTAGTTGTTCGATGAAGACTGTTTTGATCCGAAACATAAAACGGTTCTATCGTCGCGGAACACAAAACGGTCCTTGAAACCGGTTCGTCTTAAGAACGCTCACACCTAGCTACCTTCGGCTTTGTAGAGCATCATCTCTGCCACACGAAACACTAACAGTTCGGTATCTAATAAGAGCTGCTAGAACTTTAAGTTTAAGTTTTTTTTTTAGAAATCAATATTTACTGTTATCATCATCCTTAATTTTTTTTATCTTTCACGAAATATTTATATTTTATTTACAACTCTGTAAATATATTTTAAGAAGAACGCGGCTGCTCTTTAGCGACGTTGAACTACGACTGACAGAGACGCTCGACGCGACTTATAAATGGCCCGGTACTGTACTTACCTGTTAGTAAGTACAGGGTTTAAAGCAGAAAAGTACTTTTTGAAAGTAAGATAATATTAAACAGCTATAATTCATTAGAAAATTATGTTGCAGATAACAAAATATAGATGTATAACAAATAACATTATAGTGAATCTATACTGAAGCAATCATTTTGTAACCAATAACTGAACAAGTGTAAGAATTAACAAAACAGTTTTGTAAATTTTACATAACCGTTTTATTATAACAGCAAAACTATTTTAACAAAACTTTTCTTTTAACTAATTTTTTTTGTTATAAGTAAGCCGAAACTTTTTTCAATGCGGAAATCACGATGTAGTGACGTGGGGGTAGTACAAGATCGCTATTTTATTGAAGACAATGTGATGTGAAGTGTAATTTTGTGCTGCGATGCCTATTTAATTGCAAGAGAATATAGTATTGTAACATTTAAACAATAAAAATACAAGCAATAGGTCTAATTTCTGTCGCACTTTAATTTAGCATAAGCCAAAAAGTAATTGCAAAATATTTTTCTTACAGTATATTTTATCACATTTTATATTATACAATAGTATTTTTAGTACAGTGCGACCAAACTCTTGTGGCACGTGGCCGAAAACGGAACTAATTTTAGCAGGGTTTAAATAAATATACCTTTTATTTATAGAGGAAGTTGCAAATAAGTATTTAATATTTCCTATTACTGTTTCCTAGTTATTGAAAATTATTACGTTCCCTTTAGTAATGAGATTTTACATACTTAGTTATTCTCATTTCACAATTTAGTCACCAGCAGCGTCAATGTCATTTAAGTGCCACAAGATCTTGGTCGCACTGTATAAACGTAACTCTCATAGCCACACCAAAATGACACATTAGTCTACTGCAAAATGTTGTCAACTACGTATAGTGTAAAGATTGCCAGCCTATCAACAACAACAGTTTTCGAATATGTTTGAATATGCGAACGCCGATGCAGGCGTTTATACGCTTATATTAACTTGCACTGGAAAAATGGCAGCTGGAACCTTCTATGTTTTACTTTCTATAAATATTTATTCGCAACTGAAAAAGCCAAATAAAAATAAATTAATTAATTAATACTGATTCTGGAATAGGTATACTTGCCGTCAAATCATCCAGCAAGCATAAACATTTTGAAACAGATATGAAGATTTACTAATTTTTTAACCATCTATAATTCTGTCCAATGTCCAATAATTGAGTATTGTTTGTCTAGTTTTATCTATAACTTTATATAAATACATATCTTTAAGTTTCAACATTGTTGCACTTTAAATGACGCAGCTTTAATTTGAAGGGTTTACGTAAGCACAAAAAAAATATGATAAAAATCAATGATCAGGTAAAGAAGATAATTGTGCTCCCAAAGGAAGAGAACGTGTCCAAAATCCAAAGAAGAAAACTAGGAAATAGAAGTAATGATCACCATTCACGGACAAAAGACATTTTAATTAAAAAAAATTAAGCTGGTAGGATGTGAAACAGATGATAATAGTTTGTATGGACAATCGATGTTGCAACGACGCGACGCCGAAACCGCGGGTACCCGCTAATATCATGTAACGCGATGCAGAACATTTGTGCCAATCAACAAATTAGGAATGATATGAAAGCAATACTCTCTTACATAGGCCTTTCAAACAGGAGTCCAAACTGATACAATGAAACTCCAATACTAACGCGGACACGCTCACAGACAAAACAAAGTATTTTGACGAATGAAATATCTGCAAATGAATTCGGCTATCCATTCATTGGGTAAGTAAGATAATGTAAAACAGAAATCCCAACCAATCCCATAATCGGTTGATCGCATTTTGCGCCCCGCCCACTTGACCTCATTTTGCGTGGAACTACTTTTTAGCGCAGTTTGTATTCCATATTATTTCTGATTCGTTGATGGCAATGCATAAACGAAGCGATACTTACACATCCGGCCGGATCTAAGAAGGATATATCTCCAAAGTATGCTCCGTCTAATCCGACGTGTCCCGTGTGTTTTACATCTCCCTGAGGGCTGGATATCATGCTGCGCTGTATGGTCCGTTTGCCGGTGTACGTGTGCCGTTTGACGTCTGAACGCAGCAGCGATGAGCGAAGCGAGCGAGCGGACCCGCGCACGGGGCTCGGTGACAATGTTGGCCCGGTCCTCTGAGGTGAACGGAAGCTTAGCCAAACCGATGGTGATTGTGATATTATATTATTAACAATGACCCAAACCGAATGAGTGAATAGAAATTTATGCGTAAACCAGCTTGTTGAAAGTTAAAATTCAAAGAAATAAAGAAGCTTCTTACCGCCATTCACAATTTTATAGACAATGGGCCCAATTCTGCCGTGATTCTCTAAATATAAACTGTAATTTAACGGAAGTCTCCCTTTTTCATAGTGCATGATAAGGACAAACTATTATCAAATTTAGTTTTAGGTTTAGAGAATCAAATCAGAATCATGCCTAATGTTAGGTAATCATGCTACTGGTCGCTGCATAATTTTCAAAGGGCACGCTTTAAGAAAGAGAGATAGCCAAGACAAATCAGTTTACTCATAATCCGTATGTATGAAAAAGCAACGATAACACGCTTGTGTAACAGGGACTTACGTCGTGTTTCGAATACGGTTTGGTTTGGCTCGGATCGAAAACGCCACATGCGCCACCAGGCAAGACTCCGTACCACATTGATGTCTTTGTCATTTCCCTGTAATAAGTATAATTAATTATCACTTTAAAAAATTACATGCATGCTAGATTGGAACTGAGAGAACATTGCCTTGCAATTATCTTGCCTACTGGTAAGATATTAAAACTTATGTATGCTAGCTGACCCAAGTCGTGTACTGCAACTCAAATCTGTCTACGTTTCTTGGCAAGACCTCCAAGGTTTCCAAATAATGAAATTTTCTTTAAATGTACTTTAGACTTGAAAAGAAGAGTGTTAGGACGGGACTTAAAAATTAATCATTTTTAGCTTCTCTCGAGCTACAAACACAGCTTCATCTGCGGTTGTTGAGTAATACCCAATAATAATTATTGAATAATCTGCATTTGACCGTCATGAGAACGTTCTATTACAGAGTCGTGGGCCGGTCTTCCTACAAAGGTATGTGCCCCAGTAGTGACACAGCAATATACTGACGATAACAAAGAAAAGTCAAAACGTCGACTCACTCTTTTCCTAATACTGTGATAATGTCTCCAGATTTATATTCCAAGAAGTTACTTCGTCTGCCATCTTCCGGTTTTTGGTAGTTAGCTACGAATTGTACCTGCATAAAATAAAAAAATGGAATGAGATATAATAATCCAGGGCGGATGCCTCTGAAAAGATTAGAAAAAACTTTTAATTACCAACAACAATTTTTTTCATGCTTGTTCTGTACACAACAACAAAAAAGTAAATACATTTAGGCTTTTCATTTATCGAAATTGATATATAGATATTTTTACCTGTTCAGGCCGAAATTCTCTCAATTTGGAACCGAGCTCTCTGAATTTCGGTCGATCGTTTGGATTGTGAGACCAACATTCAAGCATTGTTGTATAATATGCTTCTGGACAACATTCTGGCCTTTCGAGTCTCTTAAAAAAAAATTTTTTATAACATAATTTCACAGATTTACATCATCGTGGACATTACTTTTAATATTTTCATTACCATAAATTCACTAACGAACCTGGAAGTTAGGTGCATCTATTGCCTCCAATATTTGTTGACCAGAGAAAGCAGCCCAGGGCTGGAAGCCATATGTAAACATCTCCCAGAGGCACACACCAAACGCCCAGACATCGCTTGCCGAAGTAAAACGAAGGTACAGTATGCACTCTGGAGCACACCTATAATTTATTTATACATTATTAATAAAAAAAAAATATAATTTGTAGTAAATAGTAATTGTATTACCAACAGTTTTGCATTACACTAATTAAAAAATTGTTTGCTCTAATGTACTTTATCTGCAGATGACCGTATAATAATAGGAAATGTTTTGCTAGTTGACCATACGAAAGAAAGAAAGAAATGAGGTTGAGTATGAAGGGAGACATTTTGAAAATGTAGCAGATAAATTTTATTATTTTTAAAGCATGTAACTGCTTGATGTTTAAATCTAAAGAAAATATAACTAGAAAAAATTCCACGCGGACCAGGCAGCAGACGGAACTCGAACCCGCACCCTTCGCAATCCGGGCGAATGCACTGACCAATTATGCTACCGCGGCCCTCACGGACCGCGTCGAAATTCTTCTAGCCATTCTTAAGCTGCAAGGCAGCGCCATCTCTTCGCATTATAGGTAACCCATAATGTCAAATGATTACTTTTACAAGTATTAAACATTTGAAAGAAGAAATAGCAATTATAGTTATAAATTTTATTATTTTTAAAGCATGTAACTGCTTGATGTTTAAATCTAAAGAAAATATAACTAGAAAAAATTCCACGCGGACGAGGCAGCAGACGGGACTCGAACCCGCACCCTTCGCAATCCGGGCGAATGCACTGACCAATTATGCTACCGCGGCCCTCACGGACCGCGTCGAAATTCTTCTAGCCATTCTTAAGCTGCAAGGCAGCGCCATCTCTTCGCATTATAGGTAACCCATAATGTCAAATGATTACTTTTACAAGTACTAAACATTTGAAAGAAGAAATAGCAATTATAGTTATAAATTTTATTATTTTTAAAGCATGTAACTGCTTGATGTTTAAATCTAAAGAAAATATAACTAGAAAGGGAAAAGCGAAGGGTGCGGGTTCGAGTCCCGTCTGCTGCCTGGTCCGCGTGGAATTTTTTCTAGTTATATTTTCTTTAAATGTAGCGGATGTTATATCAAGAAGAAGCGGTTAACGATAACATATAGTATGAAGGAATTAAATTTTTGGATTTGGATCTAGCTTTCAGTGATTAACAGTAGTTAACAATTTTTCGGAAAATCCTTTTTCATCCCACCACCTCGGAAAGTGTAATTTTGCGCTTCGAAATCTGGCTGGAAAATTCTATTTTATTCGCTTGAGCGGCAAAGTAGATTTGAATTTAGAACATCACATATAATGAGTACTCAATATAATTGTAAATTCAAAACGTCATTAAACCTATTTAATGTAACCTCTATGGTGCCAAATATATGATTAGAACTTTTTAAATTGTGAAAAAATTTAAATTTGGAACCTTCTTGGTTTCTTTGTTTTATTTGCGTGCTTCGCGCCATTCTAGTTTTTCACGTTTTATTGCTTAATATAATTAACATAACCTAAAAACTGTACAAAAAAATCAACTAAAATGAGTGACATTAGCGACGATGAAGTTTATCTAACGCCAACTGAGTTAACTGAAACAGTTAATAATGCGCAAATGAGCCTTCTCCCTCAGCAATCACGAGAGAAGTATTTGAAACAGTACGATATATTTAACATGTGGCGACTAGCTAAAGGAGCAAAAACTTTCTCCGAAAACGTTTTGCTGGCATATTTTATAGAATTATCTGAGACCAAGAAAGCAAGCACGCTATGGAGTACGTATTCAATGCTAAAATTAACAATTAAGATGAAGAAAGACGTTCATATCGACACCTATCATAAATTAGTGGCATTTTTAAAAAGAGCCTCATCTGGTTATAAACCAAAAAAATCGAAGGTTTTCACAGCATCTGAAATTGCAAAGTTTATTAATGAAGCACCTGATTCCGTATATTTAGCGGCAAAAGTAAGTCAATACGTGTAATTTTTTGTTGTTGATAAAATTGTACATAGTACTTACAATATTTTTAATTTGATTAATTTATTTACGATTATAAATACTTCTTTTGTTACAGGTTGTTCTTATTATTGGTATAACCGGAGCATGTCGAACAAATGAACTTACACTACTTAATGTCAATAACGTATCAAAATATTCTCATAATTCTGATGAATTGCTATTAATTAATGTACTAAATACCAAGACAAAAAAAGACCGCAACTTCGTTATTCGCAAGGAATATGTAAACATTGTTCAGAAATATCAAGCTTTACGTCCTTCTAACACCCCAATTGAACGATTTTTTCTACAATATCGCAACGGAAAGTGTATCCGACAACCTATGGGTCAGAATAAAATTGGCAGTATTCCACGAGAAATAGCAACTTTTCTCGGACTTTTAGAACCCCCGTTATACACCGGTCACTGTTTTAGAAGAACCTCAGCCACACTTTTGGCCGAATCAGGGGCTGATCTTCTATCGCTTAAGCGCCATGGAGGCTGGAAGTCTAATTCGGTTGTAGAGGGATACATAGAGGATTCAATCCAAAGTAAATCAAAAAATTGTAATAGTATCGTGGAGGCCATAACGCTGAAAGAACCTCTGTCAGATTCTTGGTCTCGCCCTTCTACATCTAAAATGAGCCCCCATAAGATTGGAAACAATAGCCCTCTCTCGCCAACATTTACGCCAATAGAATCCAATGAATCGGCACAACTATTTAAAATTACTGATACGAGTAGTTTACCACAAAACAGCGCACAATTCACAAACACCAACATAACATTACCTAACAAAAATATTAAACTTAACATAAGTAACTGTAGCAACGTTACATTTAATATTTCTTAATTATTTTCTACTTCTTATTATTTTCTTCAATTTATAGATTATCTTAATGTGTTTTAATTGAAATAAAAATATTTTGTCATTATAAATTGTTTTCTTTTTCATTTTGTCATTTCCTCGCTGAGGTGGGATGAAAAGTTACGTATTGCACTCGAGTGGAAAGATTTTTCACCTTGTGCTCGTTTGTTTCCCTCGCTGACGCTCAGGATTCTAATTTAGAATCACTCGCTGCGCTCGTGATTCAACTTTAGAATCCTTCGCTTGCTCGGTCATCCAAATCGAGCACGCGGTTAAAAAGGAACTTTCCACTCTTGTATAATAAATAACTATTTTATTATTTGTAGTAGTAAAGTAGTTGGTGGCAAGGTCTGGCAAGACATGAAGACAATGGGCCCAATTCTGGCGTGCCAACTTATATCTAAAACTAACTAAAATTAGATATAGAGTTGTCAAATTCAATTTGGTATTCTGTAATGACACACTATCTCTAAATTTAAAAATGGACGTCGCTAAGTTATTCAACTTAGATTTAGATGATTAAATGGTATTCTGAAACGCATTCTAAGTGTCATATTTTCTCTAAAATTAGAAATGTCACACTAAATTTAAGAAAGAACTACGGACGTCCTCTCTAAATTTAAATGTGAATAATTGGGGACAAATATTAGGTAAATGATTGCTGTACTTAAGTTTTGAACTTGTTGTTAAGGTTGGATATGGTTTTATTTCGTTAAAAAGGTCATACATTTTATACAATAATGAACGACGACGGTGATAATATTATATTAGCTAGATCTTTTATTTTTTTTTAAAAGGTAGGTAAGTCTTTATGTTACGATACGGATTTATTATAATCCTATTAAATGTGTCATGAGCCACCACGCGGGCCTAATGCGGCTTAGTGGAGGCTTACGATTGCAGATGCAGCGAGCAACAACATAGGAACTCGAAGATACAATTTTGGTTGGTCACCCATCCTAAGATCGGCCATTGTGAAAGTTGCTTAACGTTCACGATCGCAGAACGAACGCATTACACTTACGCTTTTGCGGTACTTCGTAGATGATGTATACGTATATCTTGTATAAAATAATAAATAATTTAAGGTAAAATCTTTTTTAACATAAATAAAAATCCATTTAATATAAAAAGAGCAAGTTGAAAAGGTAAGAAATCTATGTACTAATTCTTTAAGTAATACCTACAAAGTAACTACCTACATAGTCAAATAATTAAGAAAATAATAGGTATGATGTCAGTGAAATACATTCCAATCAAAAATTCCAATCCAAATATTATTTTGACTTTAAATGTAGGTACTTTAGACTTTAATGTATTATTTGTTCCATCCTTTGTTATTAGTGGTTTTGTTTATATGAAGCAGTTTTTAATATTTGTTAGAACTGTTTTTATTTCCCACTTTTTATAAGCTAATCATATAAAATAACCAATCCCGAAATAAGTTCCTACTGTTATTGAGAAGTTTGTTTTTTTATATTCGAAAGTACTTGGCATCTTAACCCAATGAATAATTGGGATTTGGGACGATCTCGCCAAAAACTGATAGAAACAAAAAAATATAGAAATAGGTTACGAATCTCGGATTATACAATAAATGAGAACAAAATCTTCACAAAACAGCCGAGGGGATAATTACAACCTCTTATCGAAGCCGATTAATAACCATAGGTACCTGTGTATACCATACCTGTGTATTAGATATATGCGCTGGATTGAGAATTTACGATTCGAGATATTTTCAAGGATGATTCACGTTAGACCGTGTTTGTCGTAGCAGAGTTATTTTCATAATATTTTTATTCGATTATTTACTCTTTTTAATTATGTTATTCTTAATCAAATTTCAACGTGTTTAATAATATACTGTCCGTGCTCGAGGCTGCTATTTGATACAGCCAGGGGCACGGGCAGAAGTCTGAAAGAGGAAGCATAGAAGGATAGTAAAGATAAAAGTAGGTATACAAGAAAATAGGGAGGTGAAAACCAAAGTAAAGAAAAGTTGATTCACATTAGTGCCATTAAATACTACTCGTTTGCTTCGAGTTGGCCGTCGATATCCAATCACAGGCACATCAACTGGTACCATCGTCCAATAAGGTCGACTAATAGGGACTGTCTAAAGCGCGGTGTTCTGAAGCTGGGAGGGTGAAATCAGCCAATTCGAAGCGGACGCGTAGTGCTTTGGTTATTAAAAGTATGCGTTATTAATAGAATGCAGGGTTCACTCAAC